TGTAAGCAAGCAGTTTTTCCTAGTGACTATGATGTCGTCTAATGTTTTGTTGGCAACTTTATGATGTGTAAATCATTGTTCATTGTTGATACCCTCTGGTAATTTGTTACATAGCTATTGAAAATGGCCATTTATAGTGGATTTTCCCATTAAAAAATGGTGGATCTTTCCATAGTTATGTAAACGTTTACCAGAGGCTATCTGTCGATATTGACATTGTTGATGGTCATGGTGGTGATGGTGCAAACCTCGGATCTATTGGGCAGGTGTTTTTTAAACTCCAGCCAAAAATAGGGATCTTTGCATTGGGGTTCCAGACAATCACAAAGCCAAAGTCTGGAGTCCATGATATCCAATCGATCATTGCACCGTATTCGAGCCATACAGTTCTGACTCTTACAATCAATATGTTCGGGGTGGGATTTTGGGGACTCAAACACTTTGAGAAACCAACCAATATGTGTTTCTGAAGCAAACCAAGGTTGGTTTTTCAAACTGTAAGATTCAGCATGGTTGATGCTAGGCTTTCATGGGTTTACTACATTGCACCAAGTATTCCTGCTGAAATTTGCCAAGTTTGGGAGGTTTCAAGGCCTTCCATGTGTTTGTTCACATTTGAACGCTTTCTTATGATTTCTTGTGCATTTCCTCTATGAACATCACTTTGGGGGGGCAATCAATTCACCACGATTCCATCATTTCAAGTGATGCTTCACGTCTCCGTCAAATCGTGGTCAATCATGATTGCGTCACCAATTTTCTGGGGAAATCCTGCGTTCAACATGTTCAACAGTTCACCCACCAATTTTCAAAGAAATGTCCCACCCATTTCCAGTGCCGCTGCACCACACCGAAATGCTGCCTCTGTGACAATTCACACGCGGGATCGCGGGGAGCCGTGGGCGCGCTCGGCGCCTGGGGCAGACGGTAGTTCAATGGGAGATCTCCAGGATCCTAAAATGGAGGTACTGTACCATATAAGGCCATATTTTGTGGGGATATTCTCTTACATAGGCCTTACATAGGCCTTACATAGGCCTTATATATGGTAGGTACCTCCAATTTAGGATCCTGAAATGGCCATTGATTAGGTGAAATATGGTGGAAAAAAATCCAGAAATGATGGATATGACAAATCTTGAGAATCTGTAGTATCTTCCCCACAGTAACATAAACAGCCTCGTGATATCCTGGTAGAATGTAGTGACTACAATATGTGAATCTATTCATTTTGAACTGGGGAGTGACGAATCAAAATGTGAAGTACTTGGGAACCCGAGTTTCATGCATATGTAACCACCAAACCTGAGGGAGGCAATCCACCCATCTCATGGGTTTTTCCCATCATGTACTCATTCTCGGTCATGGTGATGTTGGAGGTAGCAATTCTTAGATATCCAGCAAAAAAAATGATCCTTCGCTCTGTACTATACCTTCCCATCAAAATTGCTGGAAGATCCCCCTTTTTGTTGGATGATTATCATATCCCCATTGGATCACCAGCAAAAACCCTATTGAATCGCATGAAAAATCCCATTAAATCCCATTAAAATCCCATTAAAATCCCATTAAATCGCATGAAATTCCCATCAAATCCATATTATTCCATATTATCTATGGTTGAATCCCCATTTCTTCACGGAAGGAGATCCTGACCCCGCAGTGCCTGCTCCATCTGTCGGGCACGGCGCCGGTTCCATTGCCTGGTCCAGAATGGGATGTTGGGATGTGAATCAGCGGTTATATCAATGTACTCTATATATAATATCAGATCATGTGCAGATACAGAAATATATAGAATATCATTGGATATGTGATGTATATATATATATATACATATGTATGTATATACTGTATATCTACATATATCGATAATTGCGAAAGATTACAGACCAGTTCGGACTAACCAAACCCATCCCCGTCTGAAGAGCACCCCCCCCCCTGCCGCCTGCGAGATGCCCTTCCCAAGACCACCACCACAGGTATTGCGGCCAGGCAGAGAAGACCAATGACCTCAAATCAGCATTGAACTGCTGGTGTCATGTGGTTCCAAGACTGGAAAATTGTCTTTAATATGTCTATAATATATATATATATATATATGTACATATAGCATGAAGATGGAAAACCCATGGTTTCCCAACAAACATGATCTGCATTTCTGATAGATTTTCCATGTCTATATCAATTTTCTGTAGGGTATGTATTCAAAACTGCAAAGATTATCGTTCAATATTGGAGGAGAGTGTCTTACCTGTTGGTCGGGCACAGGCACAAAAAAAGATTGAGAGATCGACCTAAAACAACAGGGGTTTATATCCTCATGGAAATGAATGAAGAAGTTCAAAACCCCTTTTCTCCCTCCAAAAAACTCTCCATCCTCGATCACCCACTTGCAAATATCTCACCTAAACCTTATCTGCTCATAGCGAAAATACAATCCATGAACCACCCAGGATAAAGAACCAGTAAAACGGGTAAAGTCCATGGAAGCGTCCAAAATCGGAGGAGAGGACACAAAACAGGATCACTACAAATTGGTATTTAGTGTTAGTGATTCTAACAATTTTGGAAGCGTGCACGCATAAGGGGTATCAACAAAAAAACGACCAAAATGCAAAATCATCTAGGAAGACAACAACTCTAGAAGCAGTCGATTGTAGATTGTAGGAGCTGGAAACCGCTTGGATTTTTTTGTTCCAGTCACCATCGGAAAATGGCCACCCGATTACGTGGCCCCAGCAAACAATATATATGGAAAACCGTGCAGTCGAGGATTCTGATCTTCCACCGTGGAAAGAGTTTATATAACAAGATTTAACATAATAGCAACAAACCTTTCACCAAGAAATCCGCAACAAAAATGCCACTCCAATAGGGCAAGGCAAATCACAGACAAATTATCTGAATAGTCTATCATCAATCCCAAAAGACAAGACTTTACCCCTAATATTTTAGATATTCCCCAAACAAAATCCTGGCTTAGTTTTGCATCATCTTGGTCATATCCAATCTATTTATGATTTGGAGTTCCATATTGGAGGTATTTGACTTCAGGAGAATGACACGAATTGTAGGCGATCAAAATCATGCCCCGTTCCCTTCGCCAGAGACACCCAGAGCCAAGTCCAAGGGCGGCTGCCGGGCGGAAGACCGATCCTTCAGCAGCGCCAGGTCGTTTGGGCCAATGCGGTTTTGGTTAAAATGATGTTTTCTGGACAAACAAAAACGTGTTTTAGTGGACAAAAAGAGAAGCAAACTTATTTGACGGCGAAATGTGGGGGATGAGTGGGCTGCTGGGTCAAAGGGCAGGGACACACCCTGGCCACATTTTGGCCTACTTATATGCCTGTTTCATTGCTTCAACCCTTTTAAAAACCTCGTGCATCTGGGTCACCCGGTGACCAGGGAAGCAAAACCCTTCATCTCTACAGCTCTAGACCTTCGCATGCCCTCTGGTAGGATACTACATGGCCATGCAGGTTTCCCAGAGAATAGGATATGACAAATTAGTTACCCACCAATCAGTCATCCTGGAGACCCCTACCCGTGAACCAACCTGTGAGAGCCGAAGTCATAGGTCACTGGAAACTTGCCTCATCAGTTGGCCAAAATGGCCCAGGGGATGCACGACAAAAGGCCAATCCACAGAATTAATTCACGGATCGGCTGTCATTTGACCTTGGCGCCTAGATGAACCTTTAAAGCCTTTAAGACTTAAGATAAGATGGGGCTGTTCAAACAACCACAATTCACGATTGGTGGAAACTGTGACATGATAAAATGACTCCTAAAACTGTATGTCCAGTATCACTCTTTACGGCAGTTTCACAGGCCTGCCCCACTGTATGTCTTTGTGTTCCTCATCATATTTTCTCCTCAAAAAAAAACCTTTGGCAAGGATTAAGATTAATCCCTGGCCAACCACCACTTCAAGCCCAAGAAAATGTGACAGTTTCGGGAGATCCCTATCCAATCCCCATCCCCATCCCCAAAATCCCAAAGTTTCTCGGGACGAAATAAAGCGCTTTCGGCCCGACTCAGTTTCCGAGGTGCGGTGGAAGACATCTCCCAGAATCCATGTCCTTGGAGGAAGCGTGATCAAACGATGAAAAATGCTTGGATTGTTGATGATTTGTGTATGTCTCAATCATACGCCAGATATTCGTGGATTTGAGAGTTCCCCTAAGATGGAAACATCTTCAAATACACCTGGCTGGGCTCGTAAGGTAGAAAGCGCCTGATGCACTATGGTCAGTTTCAGTTCCGTGACCAAAGGATGGATCAACATTGTCACAATCTACTGATAAAACCATCTGATCTGGGCAGTATTTTTCTCTAGTCGTGAAATCTCACATGGCTGGCCGGATCTGCCCTACAATCTTATGTGTACAGTTTTAACACCTTTCTGGTAAGACCAGTGATACCTACAACTATCTGAGGGACAAACCTCAATCTTGTTTGGTCAGGCCTGACTAATTGTAGCTTGCACCGCAATCACCCAATTATATAGAGTTCCAACGAAAAGTTAAACTTGGATGGCACCTCATTTTTGAATCATACCCAAAACATGTTTAACATGTTTGGTCCATTCACTTGCAACTACATCCGCAAAATTCCAAGTCTAACTTTACTGTCAACAAACACTAAAATGTTAGAATCGTTAGGTGCATATGATAAGCATAGTTAGTTTCCCTGTTCTCTATCGGATAACCCCAGGAATCAGGGGCTTATTCCTCAGGTCTCCTTTGCCCAGCTACGATTCCTTTGAACCACGTCCAAATAGGACTGGATTGGGATTGTAGGTTCCCATTCGATTTGAAACGGTACTCCCCTAGTGATAATCGAAGAAATTTGGTGGTTTGTTGATTCCCTGCTCAATGTTTTTTTCAATGGGGTGAATGATGTGAAACTATGTACCCATCTCATCTCAAAAAGGTCAAAGAAAAATGCAGTAGAATATGTTAGAATCCTTGATCCATCCATGAGATTTCAGATAATCATCTTAGCCTTCCTAAATGAAATTTGTTTGATGATGTTTGATGTTTGATCCCCAAAATCCCAGGTTCATCCACTTTGACTCGGCCACCAAGGTGCCGTTCCTCGCGCGCCTGGACACACAACTGGCAGCCGCCCAGGCGCTGGAAGCCGTAGTCCTCGCCTGGAACTGGCGGAGTTCGTGGAGTTCAGTGTGAGTTCGTGCACTGTGAAAATGAAGAAATGGTGGATCTAACTATCCCAAAAATGACGGTTTTGACAATCAAAATGATCCTTGTTGTATATAATTTATTAAGCAACATGAAGCAACGTTTGTTGAAGCAACACTTGCAGGATGACCCTTCGAAACATGTGCCCGAAATGTGGGGGTGACTCCCCATGGGATGATGATCCCAGCAGATTCTCCAAGTGTCATTATAGGTGACATCACCTTTCCTAGAGATTGGCTTCGACATTGACATCACAGTTTTTGTTGCTTCACATTCCATTTTGAACGAGTACATGATACCCCACTACAACCATCATGTCTGGTTTTATGTCCATTTGTTGCCTCATGCCCCTATTTCTATACCTATAAGCATCGCTGAATAGAGCTGAACTGGGCAGTACCTCGACCTGTCACACCCTCAAAGTTTGCTCAGCTCTGGACCTGTCAGAATGTAGTCCTGGCATGGTGGGAGAAGGCATGCTGGATCTCCCATCTGATTGGAGGCATTTTACATTTGGGTACATAGTCTACATGTACATGTATGTATATATATATGACTATATATGTATATGTATATGTGTATGTATATGTATATGTATACGTATACGTATATATATATATATATATGTATATATATAACACGTTTTCATAAATAAACGTATCCCCAGAGCCTCACAAAAGCAAACAAACCCAGTTCGGACCCTCGTTCACCTCTCAAGGTCGGAAACCCTGGGACAGCATGTTTCAGTTCATGCTAGGCTTCAGTGGGTACCAGTTCACATGGAAATCGCGAAAAAATGTGCAAGTGGGAGCGTCTTAAAAGATGGTATACCTCTAAATACTTATTTTAGTTGGAACATACAAATGCAAATGGATTTAGGGGGTTCTACCTAATTTTCACACAAACCCAAGTGTGAAATTATGATTGCACTTAGCAACTTTGAGGCTCCTTGTTGATCTGGGCAAGTTGCAGGCACCTTTTCTCACCACCGCCCTAGGCCCCTGGGCCCCCACCTGCCCGCCGAGCGTCAGGGTGAGCGTCGGCAGGGCACTGCAGCGAGCATCGTGCTGTTGTGCCTTCACAGGGCAGAAATGGATAGGAAAACCACCTCTCATGGGAAGTTGCCAGCAAGAGCAAGAGGTTACCAATGAAAATGATCACAAAAAGTACTGAAAATGGGGATATGATTCATATGATCACAAAATGACCAATTTCAAGGGTTTCCTTTCCCCTGGTCTCGCCAGGATGCCAAACCCATTGGTGGCAAATCTGGGCATCGGCTTGATCCACCACGGGGCATTGGGATTTCCAACGAAATCATGCGAATTCCCCACTGGCCCAACACAGCCATCCCTTAGCTTTCAGATTTCCTCAAAATAAACACGAACCCGTCCCAAGAAAATTGAAATACTAAGCTGATGCTTTCCGATAATTTTCAGACAACCCTGTTCACCATATTGTCTTGAACTTCCAATGACTTGGTTTCTGGTTTCAATCCCCATATCTGATGTATCCCTTTAGACACACCCAAAATATCCCAAACTTCCGTTCTATTTTTTCTGACTAAATTTGCTGAGTTAGTAGTGTATATTATGTACATATATATATAATATACACTACTAACTAACCTATATATATATATACATATACTGTGTAACTGTATGTGTGTGTATATATATATATAGAAACCCCCACAGGCCCCAGGGCGGGCACCTGGCGCACGGCATCGTAGAAGAGGCTGGCATCTTTGCTGGGCAGCACCAAGCAGCTGGAGCCGCTGTCCATGAGACCTGCCGCCAATGGCGCCGCCAATTTCTGCTTGGTGAACAACTTCTTGTAGCATTTCATAGTGGTTACTAGTGGTTTTAATAGTGGTTTTAATAGTGGTTTTAATAGTGGTTTTAATAGTGGTTTTAATAGTGGTTTTAATATATAGTGATTACTAGTGAATAATAGTGAATAATAATAATGCTGATTAATTATGATTAATGGTAATTATAAGTTATAAGTTATAAGTGGTTAATAATGACTGGTAGTGGTTAAAACTGTTTTTTTGATTTATTGGTGATTGGTACTAATCAATGGGATATACCCTCGGGTAATTTAAGCGTTTGCTCTGAAAAATGGTCCATTTAGTTCGATGATTTACACATTAATTAAGAATGGTACTTTTTCATAGCTGTGTTAAATTACCAGAGGGTAAGTGGCAAATCCTGTAATGGTTAGCAACCATAGTTGTAATCCAATTAATTCACAAGTATAGTTAGTGGGATCAATTAGTACTCAGAGAATAAACGAATTATGTAATTGTAACTAAATCCACTAATAGTTGGGATGACCCTTTTTGGGGACTTATATGCTAACCAGGGTTGTCAGCCACTTACTAAGTGGGGTTAGCTTTGAAAGGTAATCATTCTTCGGACTTACCGCGTTAGTATCCATTATCCCCATGATTTTGTTGAAGTTCAATCCCAGTAATATCTCAAATTTTCGGGTTCAACCTCTAATCTTATTTTGTTGATTAGATCCCCATCGTATCCCAAATTTAAAGTGAAATTCCTACTACCACCACCACTGCTCCTCCTCCTCCTCCTACTACTACTACTGCTCTACTACTGGGTTTGTGTACACCAAGCTTTCCAGCGGCATCTGTGCAGCACACCTACGCGTCCCGTCAATCTGGTGCCGCCGAAGGAGATGCGGTCCATGGAGATGGCCCAGAAGCGATACGCAGCTTCCCCTCCGCGGCTTCGTTGAGAATTGGAGAAGTTTCATTGCCATTTAGCTTTTGAATCTATGCCAACACAAATTGGGATATACTGGAGAATATCTATAATTTGGAATGTTGAGACATATGTAGCAATCGTTTTCTTGTGATTTCGGAGAGAGGTTGCAGTAAATTGCTGGTACCTGGGGATTGCTGATGGTGGGCAACCACCATTCGGGGCATGGATACCCCACAGCCAGGACAGGTGCCAATGCCTGCATCGTTGTCCTTCATCACGTCTAGCCACCTGCAACTAATAACAGCATATTTCAACTCAATCTTTTAATGTATGGGGGAAATCGTGTATAGAAACTCCACCATCTGGGCTTGGGTATAAACCCTGGCATCCATCATCCATTCAGAGGGGGTTCAGCTTCCCACCAATATACTAAAAGGGGATCCGCATGTTAGCCTGGCAATGTCAACCCCCAGATTATATAAACCTGCACTCTGACTATTGATTGGGGGGTTACCCCAAAATAGGGATGAATTACTATTGAAATTGGTAACCCCTCATTAATGAAGGAATTGCCAAAACCCTGGTTTAACATTAGCCAAGTAGTATCACCCAAGACATCCATCGCATCCACCACGTGTGGAGTGCAGGAGTGACAGCACCTGATCCCGGATGGATATCGATCCATTGGCACCGCTCCAAAGACGAGTTCACCAGGCAGGAAAGAGAAGACCTGCACCACTTCGCCATGCACCAGGGCGATTTAACCAGCAAAAATGGTGATCCCAACCAGTTGTGTAAAGAGAGATAATTTCTGGATTTCAGCATTGCGCCAATGGCAACCCACCAGTTTTGGGCGAGACAATTTTGAGCCATGCCTGGTCATACCACATGTTGGCTGAAGGTCTAGAATCAAAAACATCTCCAACCCTGGGAGATTTGTCTTGCAGCTTTTTTTTGGGGGTATTTCATTTTTGACCCTCATCCATTTGACCTTCACGCGGGAGACTTCACTCCCCAATGGGTTTGCCAGAAAGATGAAATCATCCCATTGCTTGAGATCAACAACCCCTTCCCATTGGGCCCATTGGGTGCCAAGGTTGGGAGGCACTGCCCCCATTCATCGCCACCAAGATTGCCTTCTGGCGCATCCTGTCACCATAGACCTTCTGCATCAAATCCAGGGGTGTTTGCAATCCTCATGAGAGACGAAAAAGGAAGAGCACCAGTGGAGAATGACTAAATCATGTTTATGAAGGTTGATTTGATGGAACGTCTAAAACGGAGAATGGCTTAATGAACATGAAGATGAACATGATTTTTGTCACCGCGGATCATTTTCACATCATTTATGGAGAATGACTTGATGAACATGAAAAAAATAAAATGCGATCTGCGATCCATCCATGATGTGAAAATGGTTGCTAAAGCTGAGATGGGGGCACCAAAAAGGTTTTCTCAGAGTGTTGCCTACAAACACAAGGAACCATGGAAAAGATCCTGCTTGGTTTCAGAAGGCAACCAATCGCAGTCCTGTAGGCTGCGCAAGGCCATTGAAAGCCAATCCGAAAATACCATCGAAGTCCGATGCTGGAAAGGGTGCACTCACTTGGAAGACCTGTCAATCGCCCACTCTTTGCAAAGAAACCGTCTTGGGTTTGTATCATAAAAGTAGGTACAGTATTAGAGTCGAAGAGAATTAGAGAAGCCAAATGGGTGCGTGATACTGAATCTGAAACATCTGGACCTCCAAATCTGGTGGGCGGTTGGTTTCAGCGGACCAAATCTTGACGTTTGAGTCAAGTATTGTCAGAACTCCTAACCATCATCCTTCCTTCAAACCATCGTTTGTCAGAATATGGCAACCCTCCCACTGTTTTTCCAACCACCCCATCTCCTTATCCACATCTGACTATCCCATCGAAGATTTGACCACCCCCTCTCCACAAAAAATGGAGCATCCCAGCACATCGATGCCTTTCTCAGTACCCAACAAAAATGGGAAAACGAGTATCCCTAGAAATCCCCATCCCCTCCCATCCCCCATCTCCCCCATCCCTGAACATCCCATCTCAGCCTCCACAAAGGGCACCTTCTCCACCGTCACATTGCCGAAGCTCAGCCGGTCGCGCGCCAGGAAGCCCTTGCAGGAGCCTGGGGCGCTCAAGAAAAGGTACCCTTCGTTTGATTATGTGGGACACCCAATGAATAATGATGGTTGATGATGGCTTATGATGGTTAATGATGGTTATATAATGATGGCTAACAATGGGTAGGTAAACCAGCAGCAATAGATGGAGAATGGACAACTGGAATAATGTGTGAAACCCAATACCATAAACATCTACCATTTAAGGATGACTTACACCTACACCACCCATTTTTATGGTGATGACTTGGGGATGATTCGATATTGGGTTTACCACATTGTGGTGGTATATACTGTAACTGTAACTGGGATATCTGGTAGTTGGGTACAGAACAATTATATATAAATGAGGATAGAACTGATATCACTTGGAAAAATCTGAGGAGCTTGCAGAGGGCCAGTTCCCCAACAATAGATAGAGAGATGGAGATTGATCAGCAAACAGACAGACGCACGGACAGATAGATCTGACTGGTGAAGCTTCTGGGATGATATCTGCCCCCTTCGCGCAGGCCTGAAGCATAGGTAAGCCTGAGTGGCAAAACTTCGGAGGTCGGGTGAGTCGGGTGAGGTTGGGAATATATCCACAATCCGCGTGATATTGAAATTGGATCACCTAGCCAGGACTTGGCATCGGGAAAATCTCAGATCGAGCTGTTTGGTGCGCGGGGATGCGTTTTCAGCCTACAACATCACATGAATGGGAGATGAAGGTCCACTAATACTGCGACCAAGGTTTTCATCCGAGTAAGCTTTGTCTGAAAATACTGTATTCTTTTTTCATCCTCAAATCCAAAGAATGATCATTGTCATCATCACCTTTTCCCATTCAGCAAAGGCCATGTTTGAGTTTGGCGTGGTTCTAACGGATGGTACCCTCTGGTAATCAAACGTGACAATGGGAAATCCCTTTAAGAGAAGGTTTCAATGGTAAAATTATCATAAATTATCTGTAAATGGTGGATTTTCCAGCTAGCAATGTCTGATTACCGGAGGGTGTTACCGGAGGGTGTCCTCTATGTTTAGCCAAGTGCTGCCGAGCAACTCAACGCCATACCTCGAGTGCTCGTAGCTACTGGAGCTGGGGCCATCGAACTTGTTGTGCAGCCTAGGCCACTGGGCCACAACTGGATACTGCCATGTGGTACCACTGATCCCGTTTTGGGAGCATAGTACTGGGTGTAGTTCCTAAGTTGTAGTGACTAGTAGTGCATGGAATAATATTGCCCAACCAATCCATGGAGCCTGGATGGTTCATGTCTCTGGGATTCTCTGGGTACATGTCGGCCGCTGGCCATCCAGGAACACGTTATGTTTTCATCCCCACCCATAGCAGCCATAGCACGTTTCGCATGTCACATACACAAATATTCAGGGACCTCGTACCCTGCTTTTCACACCAAATGAACTCAATGTTCATCCCTACCATTGGTACGGAAAATGGAAGGCAATGAATTTCGCCCACCCAGTACCAGTCAACTTAGTGAAGCTTTGAAGCTTTCAGACTTGGAAACCATTAAGCCACACCCAAATTGCAGGTGGCGCTGATAAGCGTGCAATTTTATGTTGATTGCATCCACCCGTCTGTATTCCCGAGAATTGTGGCCGTTTTGTACCAAAATGACCAGTTTTCCGTGGCTCCAGAGCTACCAATCCGTGCTGCCCCAACTTCATGGAATCGCAGTTGATGCATTCCTCCGAGGGCACCCACAGGTTGGCGGAGCCTGCAGGACCCCCAAGTTTTGCTGTTGGAAAGAGACTCAAACACCAAAACTGCTAGTGGTTCCCCAACTCAAAACAGGATTGGAGTTGGTTGAACCAAACAAAGCCAGGAGCCTAATAACCAACCTACTAGCGGCGAGTTCTTAGCCACTCTGGCCCCCGCCTGTGTCAAAGACCACCCGGAATTGCTGAGCAGGTCGACCCAGAGCAATGACACCTCTGCAGTTGTGAGAGAGGAAATATCAGCAGAAATTGGATCCACATCTGTTTCATGCTGCGGATAGAGAAAAGTTTCAGGTAGAACAAACAACTTCTACTCCACTGCTGCTCTTCAAATGCTGTCGACTCCATGCTGGCAGCCAGGGTGCCATAGAAGATAACATCATCTTCGTTCTTGATATCGATCTGAGAATGGCAAGGGCACGAATCAAGCCGTGAAAAATGCTTCGATGATCGGACTGTCATGGAGTGGGACAATTATCCAATGCAACTTTTACAAAGATATGCATCTGTGCACTGGGGTTCGCGTCATTCTAACCCTGGTATCCTGCTTGTTACATAAATGAAAAGTTCATTCCGTTCAGGGGTCGTTCCTTGGACCACAGAATTGGTGTCAGGGAAAATCCACACGCCACACGGTGATGAGAATCTCGCTGACATTACTTTTTTGGCTTTCACTTGCCATGTTTGCTTTGGACCCAGCGATCCTTGCAGATTTGCCCCAACTATATATATATATATATACCCACATGTGCCACGGTCAAAACATGGGGGCTGGTCAGGCTGGTCCACAATCTGGATTCCAAACATCTTGGCTATATCAACCCAAATTACTTTGATGGGGGTAGGGCAACACCCATCTAAGGCGGCATGTTGGCATAAATCATCAGATTTACTTGGGTAAAACCCCTTAAATATCTTAAATTCCCATTATTGCTAGTTTATCACTATTTCGAAAGAAATTTGAGCCATTCCCCATACATAAACCCTGTTGTGACAATACCCACTCCCCAGGTTTGGCACACCTCCGCAGGGTATCACTATTTCGAAAGAAATTTGAGCCATTCCCCATACATAAACCCTGTTGTGACAATACCCACTCCCCAGGTTTGGCACACCTCCGCAGGGAAGGTTGCCTTCTGTGCAAGGCGCATGTACCTGTGAGGATGGGTCGATTTGTTTACGAGTTGAGAAAAATTGCTCTTCTTGGATCGCAACATAGTTTTTTAGCAAGATCAATCCATGTCCGTCACGGTTTGTATATGAGATAGAATTCAATTGAAGAGTCAGCAAGACCGGAGAATCTTGGGTTGCTGGTGGGTTTTACCCATCCCCATTTGTTGTTTGTCCAACCAATTTTGGATGTTTGACCTACTGCTATATGGCTTTTTCAAAAAAGTGGTTTGACCACCACCTTGCCGTTTCAATTTCCAAAAGTTATGATCAGATAATCCCTTCTGGCCGACTGGAACCCAACTGTCACCGACTCTGCAGGTTCGCCTGTTCATGAAGCGCTCATGCACATGCTGGCGACTGCGTCCTGTCAAGGATGTCCTATTTCAAGGAACCCAAACTTTGGCCAGCTGTTTTTTGGAGTAAGTCTTCGGGCTGTTGGGAATCTATTTTGGGGAGACTCTGGGCTATGCAGTGCAGATGATTGGGAACCGACACAAGGTTCACCCAGGAAATGCTTCTTACCATAAGTTTATATATTTGATATCTCCTGACACGGTTTCCTGTGAAAATTCTCTATGTTCAGGGTACCACTGGAGGTTTGGGTTGAGGGCGACATCAATTCCGTTGTACATGCAGTGCCTGCCAAGGGGTGTGGCGCTGGCGCACGCATGATGGGCAGTGATAGCACCACCGCTTCCGGGGTCAACCTCATGCCAAAGAAAGTTGTCGCCGACCAGCGAAAGGTCTGGGGCCGAACCCACATCCTCTACTGCTGAATGTATAGTAGTCCTCTATTTGAAACATGACAGAAATACTTTTGCTGAGCGGAATACAGTCTTTTTGCAAAGGGCTTTCCTCGGGAATTATGACAATGTCCAAGTCTACCTGTTCATGGGGTAAACCAGCAATAAACACGACCAACTTTTCACAAGAGAACTGCATCCGTTTGGGCACTGCAACAGACAAGAAGCAGCTTTGCATTTCCGCCACCTCGCCACGTTTTTGGCAACACTTCACGCATTGCAGTGGGGTGCAGAGACCAAAGGAGACTGCCAAAGGATCAAATTGTGTAAGCCCTGGGATAGAAATTGCGGCTTGCAACGTAACTGACCCAAGTCACACAAATTATGTACTGTATATGTAGAATACCAATATATTATCATTTAGTTGCATATGTAAATGTACACATACAATATACATATAATATATACAAATATATATACCTGCACGCAGAATGGATTTTGAAGAGATTGAAGGCATTCTACTGTACAACAACCTTCTGACCTCTTTTGCAAAAACATAGAACAACAGGCAACCTTTTTCTGCAACCAATGCCATTCTGTTGATGGGGGCTCTTGGCATCACAGGGCCCCTGAACCAGGGTTGCGCCTGAAGCCAAGGCAGATGCGCACTGCGCTTCTGCCAGAAATCAAGGAGCTCAGAAAATATCACTCCGGAAGATGCTTCTGCTCAGCCATCCATGCATCACACTGGTCAGTCAAGGGACCAACCGACTTGCCCAGCTCACGATGCATGATTGCGTCAACATAGGCGATGAAGCTTTCGTCTTGCAACATTTGGGGGGTATCGAAAACTTCAATCAGTAAGCCGGTGGTTCCCTCTTTCACGTGAACGGCTCGCCGGCTGCCATCCATTTGCACTTCGAGGTTCGTCTTCAACTCCGGGTTGTTCTTTGTTGGGTACGTTGTCACGTCCTTGGGGCTTCCCACGAGGAGCTGCTGGTTGCACCAGCTGTGTTCCTTGCAGGGGAAGACTTTCTTGTTGACCTAATGCTATGTTGCTGTGTTTTTGCAAGATCTACAACTCAAGCCAAATTACATGTGGAATTATTGTCACCAATACAGCGATACTGGGTAGACGGGGCAGGTTGCCCGGACGGGTATGATCAATTGTCGTCTTTGACTCTTAGTTTTGATCTTCTTGGTATTTTATGTTCATGCGTCGAAAATTGTGTTTTCACCTCAGTGCTGTGGAGATGTGTTACTATTTTTGTTTGTTCACTTGTAATCTGGTTATCTCTTATGTTCCCATGATCATGTATGTTTGGAATATTTCTCAAACTTCAACTGCCTGCAACATTTAAGGCATTTCGCATGTTCCGCAATTCTAAAAAGCGGTTTCAACTATCATTTGTCGTCCTTGTCCATTTGGATCCAGGAGTCATTGACAAAAAGGCTCCATGGTGCAGTGTTATTTTGCATTGCATGCAGGGTTCCACATATTATGAGTTTCCCATGAATATGAATGCTTAGGATCTCCGCACCATCCTTCTAGCATGGCAATCCATTCTTTGCTCAAGTCATCAGGAGGATTTCCATACCGGAACAGCACATACATGTATAGATGACAATGAATTTCAACTAGAGCAGGAAGTGCCAGTGAACTTCATCTAGCGTAGCAAGTGCAAGTGAACTTTTAAGCAGTGGCGGGTGCAAATAAATTTCAAGTAGCGTAGCGACTGCAAATGAATTTCAATCAGCGCAGCAAGTGCACGTCAATTTCCATTAGGGTTGCAAGCGCGTGTGGAGTTCAGGTAGCGTAGCATCAGGTAAGTGTGCTAGTGCAATTGGACGCAATTAGCCTACCCACCCCACCCCACTCTACCCCATCTTTAACCTGGCATTCTAGTCCACGTGCAAGTGCAAGTGGACACAACCCAACCCCACCCCGTCCTTGCAGCAAGCATAGAATCGGCGCAACCCTCCCTCCGCCCCCGTCCAACATGCTGAATCGCAGCTGAGCACGTTTGCTGAAGCAGTGCGTGCATATCATAACTTTACCACTGAGCAGTCTTTCAGTGGCCCACTGCCTGGATAACTTCTTTCACAATCTGCTCCATGTCTGGATCATCCTTGCGCACGATCTCCGTCCCGTCAGGCACGGCAATAGTCGCCCCATTCATGGTCAAACAATCGGTTCCATCCATAGACGCTGGAGGTGGCCAAACGCTGAACTTGCGGATCCGTTTTCCTTCCTTGGTCTGAGTCTCCATTGATTTGATCAATTGCGTTGGGATATGCATGTTGGCTTTCTTGGGTAAAATGAAGGCTGTGTCGGTGAAGAAGCCGTACACTCTGTCTCCATGTTTGATTGCCTGAATGGTCAAATGGCGAATCCCTTCTTCATTCGGCACCACGATGCGCTCATGCATTCGGTCTTGGTACTCAAGACTTTCAAACAATGCCACGAATTTGTCAGGCAAATCCTTTGCACCTTTGTGAGCATGCACGAAGCTTTTCCATTTGTCCCCTGGCACTCCACAAATGAGACTATTTCCGATCGCCACAGACATGCCAGCAACAAGGTCCTTGCCGTACTTCTGAGCAGTCTGCTGCTCATGCTTCTCAACCTCCGGCTTAGTTGTAGCCAAGTGCTTCAAAGCCTTTCTGATGTAGCCAATGCCCATCTCTTTGAGGGAGGACTGATCTTGAGGTCCAGCCTGGATGTCATCGACCTTGCTAGTGGTTTGGGTTGCTGCGGAAACAGTTAAGCCCTTGCCCTTGTCAACCAGTTTCAAGTCAATGTAGATCGTGGCTGAAGGGCCTTTTTGCTTCGCCAACTGAAGCAAGTTCTTGACACAATCCTGGCTGGAAATGATCACGTAGTCACCGTCCTCGTCTTGGTAGCCTGCCTCATACTCGGTGTCTGAAAGCTTCAACCGCTGCAAGCAATCAGGAAAGGTCTGAGTTTCCCAGTTCCACACGTGCTTCTTGGGCTCACTTTCACCATGCACAGCCACCCGCAACTTGATCTTTCGGGCTGTCCCCTCCTCCTTCAGGAGGCGTTGGAAGGCCTGCGAAAGGTCAAAGTTGAAGCTGACAGTCCCTCGGGCAAAGCATAGCTTTGCTTGCGCCGGCATGTGCTTTCTAAGGAGCTGGTTGACGTTCTGCATGGGATGCGCAAAGCTTCTGCAGGCTGACAACTGCGTCCTCGTGAGCACCCGAGTGAAGCCACGAAGCTAGCAACCAAGGTTTGCTCTCGAGCCGAATGCTACAGTTCAATGCTGTTTGTTGCAAACCACCACACCCTGTGCATCCAAATCATGACTACGGCAACAGAGAGCTCATGTATGCTCATGTAATGAATGGCAACTGCTTGAAGGAAATGCACAAGTTAAAGCGCTTCACCGCCGAGTTCACTCCAGGCTGGACTTTCATTTTACGCTATGATCATGATCACGAAACACGGAACAGTATGCCCCGTGTGCCTGTGAAGAATCTACCCACCACCGTTGCCACAAGCCCAATGCAGCAAGCACCGAGGAAGCCTGCAGCTTGCTGGCAGTTGTTCATAAATCCCTGCTTGTCGATCACTTTGTGACATCACTCCAATTTGGGGTGCCGAAGCAAGCATGGTTACTACAAAATTGCGCGCCAAGCGAAATGCACCTTCTGATTCATGGCTGGCATTGATAGTTGACTGTGAAAACGATCCAAAACACTAATCTGGCGGAAATCCCCTGCAAACCCACTACAGGATTCAGCCGTGTCAAGTTCCTGGCTGGATAATGCACTCAATGAAAGCTTGCAAAATTGAGCGATTTTCAACCAGGGAGAATAGATCTTCTTGATGTCCCCATGCATAAGTGGTGAACCTTCACCTTCCGCAACACCAATGTCACCCTTGCGTGGACGTAATGATACATGCGTGTATGTTTGTATGTACACATGAGATCACATACACTCATATACATATACTGGTGTGAATTGGGATCATCATCCCCAAAATACCAAATATTTGAAAGCACCAGGCCTGCAAGAGCACCCAGCAGCAACAGCACTCGGGCACTGCGTACGCGCGCAGGATCAGCGTCCTGCGGCTGCCCAAAAGCAGTGGTTGGTCAAGCAATAGTTTAAACTAACACAGGGTTTAATCAGCAAGAACTGAATTTTTACCCAACAATTTTGTTGACAGCTTCAAATCTCATCCCATACCCGGATTCATTAACCCTTGGATTGTCTGGGGAATTTTCCATGTCATGATGTAAGTCAGGAGTTTTTTGGGATTCAACCCCCCTAATATCACTAATTCATCAACCGGAGTTTCGGATCCAAGACTGACATTCCAGTAAGCACCTGGAGCGGAGGCCAAATCCCTGATGGAAGTCCCTTTTCCTGGTAGTTGATCGGTGGTAAAACTCCCGATCCACACTATATGATTTCAGGGTCCACGACGCCCACGTAATACCCAGGTATGCACCATTCTCGCAGGTTGATGTTCCAGTGCTGGTTGGATATGATACGTACGTATGCATACATATACACGTACGCGTACACGAACAGGTACATATATACATGTATATATATATATTTGTATTGTATTCATCGCATACATATTTTATCTTCATAGCATGAAACCATTGGGTCAAACGCTGCGTCCTGCGGGTGGCGCAACTGCCTGAACCGAGGTGTGACAAGACTAGGGGCTTGTGACTTGTGATAGATAGATTCATGATTGATTGATTGATTGATTCATTGATTAGTCGATGGATGATTGGATGAATGGTTGTGTGTAGAGACAGACCTCAGAACGTCAACAAGAAAATATATCTCGTATATACTGAGGTATGAGGTATGTGCAAAAATGAGGGATGGCCCAACACTGGCTTCATTTTCCAAGCCTCAAGGACTCCATTGCACTGCGCATGGCTCCGATCTACAGGCACTGAGAAGTCACTGAAATCAGCTGGAAGAAAAAAATTGGCTACAGGTATAGACATCTACTGAGTTATCGTCTTGATGTTCATGTCTTGGTGACATAAAACAACGATGTCGACTTGCTGACATAACAGGACCACCGAAATGGCTCAGGCGGGCGATATCACAATGCCGGGGCGCTAAGTTGAGTACTATCCGATGTCCACAGATTTTTCGGGGAACAATACACTGTTCATAGACCAAGGCCTACAAAATATCGCAACTGTATGCAACAAGTTGTGTAGATTACAATCATCATCCAATGTAATATCTGCACAATGATTCAATGATGATCATCTATACGTCTGTCTGTAGTATGTGTTTGCGCTTATATTATGACCTCCAGATAAATCACAAGATGACATCACCCTCAACCAATCATCCAATCCTCCATTCGCCACGACTCGGCAACCCCACGAGTGACAAACCCAGATGGGGCTGCCAGCAGGCGGCTGCTCATAGCATCTGTCGCCAAAACTGCTGAGGGAAAACATGCAAAACGTATCAACTACCGTGGTAAATTTACATTGAAACCTCCACTTGGGGGATGGTCTATACTAGAGTCTATACCACCCATTTCTGGAAAACTGGGATTGGGTCTATTCTTGGGTTTACCACATTGTGAGGCATGGTTATGTATGGAGTGTGGTTTTGGGTGTACCAAAGTACTCACTTCATCCCCATGTTTGTTGAGTTGTATCGCAGCACGGGCTTGTCTCAAAGTGGACAATACCCAACTTTGTTCCCTTTTTTTTTTGGTACAATGACAATAAACCGCAAGTCTTTGGGTTCCGAATTCTGAGACAACCAGATATTAGGGCATGACTCCGAAGAGGGGTACCACTGGTCCGGTAACACTCTGCCAGTACCGCTGCCATCTCTGTCCAACTGTCGGTCGTTCAAACCCATGTGCCGACCACTCCCTCCGTACCTGTTGCAACGGCCATGTCTCCTGCCGTCCTGGAAAATTGGAAAAACTCTCTCCAGACAGCATAGTGATTTCAGACTTGAAATTGGAGTAGTGCACATTCTCAAAACTTCCCTCAAAGTATTTTGGTATGAGATATATATATATAGTAGATATCGTAAATACTGTATTTCTAAAAGTATGTATATTGTCTACTCACACCACACAGGATCCCCTTTTGTTTCCTGTTGAAACGGCATCATTTCAAAAAGGGAAACCACGCGTTTTCCCACAAAGCAGGTGCTCCTGCGTATCTTGAACCATGCGATGGCCTTCCCAGCACTTTCGCACGGGGCCTCGCCTTGGGTCCAAATGCTGAAGTCATCATGGTCCATTTGTCCATTCCAAGGATGGAATTCCGAAGTAAGGATGGAAAGTATCTGATTATCTGAATTTGATTTATCTGATATGTCTGATTTGGCTGATTTCAATTTCAGGATGGATTTCCACGATGGATCATAATGATGGAATCCACATCTGTCATCATGATCCATTCCTACTATGGTTCCTGGTCACAGATTGAAATCACAGATTTGGGGAAGATAACCAAGTACTGTCACTGTACCACCTTCCCAAGCCTGGAGATGGCCAAGATATTGAGCTCCAAGGTTCTGCGGATTCTACGGGACTGAGTTTGGGTCTCTGAAAGAATCAATGTTTGTACTGAAAAAAACAGACTTGCTGTGAGTTTGGGGTCTTTCGTTTGACCGACCCACCTCGTTGTTGAAGCATTGGTCACAATCCAATCATTGTTGTCGGAGATCTCCAACAATTTATGATGAACACCCCCAACTTGCATATGTTTGTATACGTATGTAAGACATATATCATTATATATCCCCGCTAAGGTGCTCGATATGCGCATTAACTTTTGCTTCATATCTCCTTTGATGTTGATTTAATATCCCATAAACCGTTTGTTCAATCACTTTGTCTGTGGTTTCTGCTCCTGCCTGTCGTCCGGAAATGTCATTTGATCCCTTGTTGACAACTTGTTGTTGGTGAAAAACAAATTTGCTTAAATCACCACTATCCACCATGTATCCGTCTGAAGAATTATAATGGTTCACCAACCTGAACAGTTCAGCCATTTTGGCATGATTACCCTTACATTCACTATCGTTTTTTCAGTGACGTCGGCCAGTGAAAAAATATCTAAAGTAAGTAGTTGGTTTATACTAAGTTTATACACCCATCACAATATCCTCAGTTTATCGCTTGGTCCAAAATGTGGTCGCCCAGCAACTCTGCATGAAGCGCGATCCAGCTTGGAAGCTCGGACCACCACGACCTCCCGGCTGGAGGATCTTTAGGAAGGATGATGAAGCGAATTTGGCAAGAACTGTTGGAAATGGTGGTTCCTTTCAAATAAGCCCAAAAAATTACCGCTTCAGAAAGCCATGGAATTTAGGGAAGCATCCCCAAAATCCTTTGCCCAGCCTTGGGACTAAAGGAGCTCGGCAGCCACGTTTCTTCTTCTTTGGAAGATGCCTCAACCAACGCTCTTTGTCACCGACGAAACCCCAAAACCAACAGTAATATGTCAGTAATTGCTAGTAACTATGCCAGCTAGGCAAGCAAAATCAATTTTGAGCATAATGCATCCAATGCCTGGATGTAGTTACCCATGACAAGGCCATTCTAACCCACAATTGTTTGGAGATTGGTTCAAGGAAGAGGGATTTGACCCAAACCCATATTCGCTGCTTATATATCCTCTAGTGTTGTTGAGAAAGTCGCCTATTCTTATAGATTCAACCCAAGTTTTTGTTAATAAAACCCATATAAAACACATGTGTCGCGGATAAAAAACAACCCATCTTGGGGCACCAATCAAACACGTTCCGGGCCGCCCAGGCTTTTTCAACAGCAGGCAGCCAGGCTTGGGACACAAGAGCGCCTGCCTCACCAAACCACGGTAGCGTTTTGGGGGGATTGGTTTGACCACCAAAAATTGGCCCAAAACCATCAAAAACCATCAAAAAAATGTTAAAATTACAATATCAGCATGAAAGACTTGGAATAGAACTGATTTTGAGAAAAAGGACAAGAGCGGAGCTTGGGGCCCAGTACAATGTGACAGGGTGGGGGGGGATATCCACAAATTGAGGCACGAAAAATGTGAATGGGATGGTATATATCAAAATACAACCACTCAGAATCATACCCAATGTTTGTGGAACTACAATCACACAAATTGGGCACATATATATATATATACACAGTAACTAGATATTGATATACAGCTATGGTTCATGAAAAGATATTCAAAGTGTCCAGACATGTGTTCATATTTTTGGTCAACCATCCGAGATTGTGGTTTATTTTGAACAACGCCCATTTCTATGACGCTCACCAATAGGCGATGAAAACCTGTTTGTGGTTTCTCTTTGTCTGTTTAAAACCAAACAAGATGCAGATTGAGAATTAATGGTACGGCGAATGGTATGTGTTATTCCGTCGCAAGTATATTCTGTTATATATGCCCTTGTCTCTCCGATAGCTGGAAAGATATCCATATTCATAATTTTTTCACGGATGAAATCAGTTGAATTCCGCACGTTATCGCCAAAATTCCCACTTTCCCATATTTAAGGAAAAAAATTGCGCCACGGCCGTTTCACCTCGTAGTCCGCTTCGTCGTCGGTTTCATCGCGGTCACCTGCAATGCAGCTGTGGATTTTTCAGAACATTTCTTGGCGGCGGGAAAGGTTAATCATTCATGAAAACATAATGATAATGATACTGATAAGAGTTACAATAATGATAACAATGAAAATTAAAAAATAATAAGTAATACAATTTAATAAAACACTAACATCATTGTTCACAGTCATAATATATATATATACATATACCCAAAACAAAATTCACATCTGCAACCCTTTGGATGCTGAAGCACCTGAAAATTACCAGAATTCAACATTTGAGTCTCAACCAGCACTCATGGGGCCACGCCTGAATCGAACTCAAAGAAAACCCCCGCCCCAGCCACTTGACTCAAAAACTATCCAGGGAACATCACAGCATGTCAAACGACACAAAACAAATCACCGAGAAAAAAACATCATGGTGCCTGCTCTGCATTTGCAGAGCAAAAAAACATCGTGGATTCCTCCTCCAAATCTCCTGGGAGTCGTGAATGATTTTGATTTACAATGAATACTGGTTTTCCACGTGCGCTATCATGTTCGTGGCATCCAATTCCCGGTTTGCCCGCAGAAAACCATTTGAATGTTTTGCGGCTTTTCCAAATTTTGGAAACCAAAATTTTATTTTTATTGGAATTAAAAACATTAGGTGTTACTCAGTTTTGAACATGCGTTTTTTTTCGGATGTTATGGTGGTACTGTCGGTTTGGCAAAATAATGCACAACCTTTTGTTTGTTTTTGGTTTTTAGTTCCCCCGTGTCAAACGAAAGGCAAGACCCATAAGACCCAAACCTGTTTTGAACTAAATATCGTTTTTGTATGGCATTGTGCAACTCATCTTCAAAATAATTCCAACACCCTGGTTAAAGTAAAGCAAATGCGGCGGCCAATGCAAATTGCACCTTGGATGCAAGAATTATTTCACGAGGTGTTCCACATGATACCAAATACCAAAAAAAAATGTTTGTTTTGTTCAATAAAATTCCTTTTAAACGGAAAGACGCACTCTTGGAATGTAAATTTGATTTATTGACCCTGAAATTTCAAATATGTTCCGAATTTTACATTAAACACATTGCAATCATCGTTTAACAAAGTTACTTTGAATGTCAATGAACTGTGTTGGTCGCTATCGGAGGGCAAACACACCAAACAGTGATGTTTGTTGCGCAGCGTCTCAAACGCCCACTATGTTCAAACCCAACCTGCAAATGTTTCCTCCAAGTGATTTTTTTGGATTGACAAACACTGTTTCACGATATACTGCACTATGTCGTCACAAAGTTCGAGATGTTTAATTGGGTTGTTTTCCATAACCATTTTTCCAAATTTGTTCTTCCAGGGTCTTCAGCGACAACGCCCTTTCTTTAACATTGCAAATTGGACGGGTCACCAACCGTACTTGAAAACTTGACGTGCTGAAACAAACATGTTGTCATTGCACACAAAACATATTTTGAATAATGTCAGGTTCAGGCACAGCATTTTCAGGGCTAAGAAAAACACACAAAATCTTGCGGCCGGGTTCCTGTTGATAGTCAGGTCTTTGCGCAACGAGTCTTTTTTGAACGCTCCAGCGTCTACATGTCACCGCTGAACTGCGTAGAAAAACGTTTGCCTCGCACAAATGCAGGCGCAAACCGTCGGATTGGGAAATGGGGCAAATGCGCTCCCAACAAGCTGCACTCTGTCAGCGAGCCGCTAACCGGGAACTTTCACTTTTTGCATGTGCAAAAGCAGAGGTAGCAGCGGTCGGGCGTATTGGGCTCAGTCCTAGTTACAAACACCTTTTCCTTGAAGCACGGCGTGTGCTCAAAAGGGGCTGCGGACATGCACGTGTCTTACATGACATGTCATCTCTACTCTACAGATACATGTTTTACCCATGGTATATTGCCACCTTCCTTAGAGTGACATGTTGCTTGGTGAGAGACCCTAAAAGGTCTACATCCCTAAGAACCGGTCTTCAGCTCTTCGCCACGCGGCGAGCTCCTCTTCCGTCATGTTCTGGAAGGGATCGCTTCGAGCCACGTTGGGACTCGGGCTCTCGCTGCGGCGGGGTCGGCCCACTCCGGCGGGTCAAACCGCTCTGGCGGGTCTTCCCGCTCCGGCGGGACATCCCGCTCCTCTGAAAATTCTTCTTCAGCGGATGCGCTGTCCTCTCCGGAATCGGGATCTTCACCGTGGAGCAATCTTTGGACCCATCTTTCTTCATGCCACCTTTCGACAGCTTGACGAATCAGTTCCACTCCTTCCTGCCGCGGGGCTTCCGCTGGCACGGCATTTCGAGCATTTCCAGTGGTGATCGAAAGTTGCCTTCCATTGCGGATTGCGGTGAACCTCATAGTCAGCTAAATCTGCGATCCTTGGATCTGCAGCTAACTTCCGTCTCTTCGGTCGGAGTAGGTTCCTCTGGCTTAAGAGGACAGAGTCAGTCCGCGATCCATGTGCCAAGTTGACACATTTTCCACCACATGGTGATAGTTCCAATTGCTCTCCAGTACATAGAGAATCAACAGTTGCCAAGTGTTGATTTCCTGCTGTTGAGCTGCGACAGCATTAATCTGGCTCAGGAGTACCAAGGTTTTTATGGCGTTGACCTGGGCGTTCCCTTGGGTCACCGTGATGGTCTTTCCCGCTCCTTCTGCCTGCTTGTCTGTCCACGCGAAAGAAGCTGGGATTGGGTCTTCCATATTGGCTGTTTGTTGATTTGGGATACTTTCACATTCATTTGTTTTTGAGGTTGAAAATTCAGGACCGAGCCTTTTGAGCTTAATCGGTCATACCAGAGGAAAAAAAAATGTTTTGAGGTTGAAAGGATGTCATCTCCCTTCGGCGGTTCGTACATTCCAAGTCCCAGAAGCGCTGACCGCCCCTTCGTTCCAGACTTGGGAAGCTTTGTGAGTTGTCTGGAAGGCACCTCACCGGATTCTGCTTCACCTGGCGTGAGTTGGGCGGATGGCTCCCACGCTTTCCTCTTCACCAAGGCCACTGGGACTTGTGTGCTCGTTCCGAAGGCTTTGCAGACTGATCGAGCTATGAGCCATGCTGCATGGCGCACTGAAATTGCAACTGACATTCAGTTCGGGTACCAAGTCCGGACATCCATCATAGAGCTCTGATCTGTGATGCAACAAATCCATTCATGGACTCTACAGCGCCTGAGCTTTGGTTTGGGCGGTGACTCCCGCACGGAGACCTTGGAAGCTCCAATGTAACGTTAGATGCAATTTCCCAGGGCTCGGATTGCAGGTTCGCCATCTTGTTCGAAGAACATACTTGGATTGTGACACTTCACGGTGCCAGGGGCCATCCTGTAGTAGTGTCTGTGAGACACAGGATGGTCACCAAACGGAGGGCGGGCCCACTACTACTACTCTAACTTACTAACTTACTAACTTTCTAACTTTCTAATTTACTAACTTACTAGCTTACTAACTTACTAACTTACTAACTTACTAACTTACTAACTTACGAGCTTACGAACTTACTTACTTACTTACAAATTTACTAACTTACAAACTTACTAACTTACTAACTTACTAACTTACTAACTTACGAGCTTACGAACTTACTTACTTACTTACTTACAAATTTACTAACTTACAAAATTACTAGCTTTGCTAACTTACTAACTTACAATTTACGAACTTACGAACTTACGAACTTACTAACTTACTAACTTACTAACTTATTAACTTACTAACTAACTAACCAACTAACTGTCTAACTAACTAACTTACTAACTTACTAACTTACTCACTTACTGACTTACTGACTTGCTGACTTACTGACTTACTGACTTACTGACTTACTGACTTACTGACTTACTGACTTACTGACTTACTGACTTACTAACTTACTAACGTACTAAGTTACTAAGTTACTAACTTACTAACTTACTAACTTACTAACTTACTAACTTACTAACTTACTAATTTACTAACTTACTAACTTACTAACTTACTAACGTACTAACTTACTAACGTACTAACGTACTAACGTACTAACGTACTAACGTACTAAGTTACTAACTTGCTAACGTGCTAACGTGCTAACGTGCTAACGTGCTAACGTGCTAACGTGCTAACGTGCTAACGTGCTAACGTGCTAACGTGCTAACGTGCTAACGTGCTAACGTGCTAACGTGCTAACTTGCTAACTTGCTAACTTGCTAACTTGCTAACTTGCTAACTTGCTAACTTGCTAACTTGCTAACTTGCTAACTTGCTAACTTGCTAACTTGCTAACTTGCTAACTAGCTAACTAGCTAACTAGCTAACTAGCTAACTAGCTAACTAGCTAACTAGCTAACTAGCTAACTAGCTAACTAGCTAACTAGCTAACTAGCTAACTAGCTAGCTAACTAGCTAACTAGCTAACTAGCTAACTAGCTAACTAGCTAACTAGCTAACTAGCTAACTAGCTAACTAGCTAACTAGCTAACTAGCTAACTAGCTAACTAGCTAACTAGCTAACTAGCTAGCTAGCTAGCTAGCTAGCTAGCTAGCTAGCTAACTAGCTAACTAGCTAACTAGCTAACTAGCTAACTAGCTAACTAGCTAACTAGCTAACTAGCTAACTAGCTAACTAGCTAACTAGCTAACTAGCTAACTAGCTAACTAGCTAACTAGCTAACTAGCTAACTAGCTAGCTAGCTAGCTAACTAGCTAACTAGCTAACTAGCTAACTAGCTAACTAGCTAACTAGCTAACTAGCTAACTAGCTAACTAGCTAACTAGCTAACTAGCTAACTAGCTAACTAGCTAACTAGCTAACTAGCTAACTAGCTAACTAGCCAACTAGCCAACTAGCCAACTAGCTAACTAGCTAACTAGCTAACTAGCTAACTAGCTAACTAGCTAACTAGCTAACTAGCTAACTAGCTAACTAGCTAACTACTACTACTACTACTACTACTACTACTACTATTATTACTACAGGGGGCTTCAAGCGGGGCTTGAAGGGGGCTTCAGAAGGGTTTCAGGGGCTTGAGAAGGG